GCTATGAAAGTTGAGCAGATTTTTTCGCCCACGTGAGCTAGGTCGCCGGGCGTTGGCCTTTATTGTTGCGCTGTTGTGATCTTGTCTGGATTAGGAAGTGCGACGCCCGATTGCATGTTGCGGAAGAGAAGGATATAAGGCAATGTGGGCTGTTTGCCTCAGTGAGGTGGTGAGTATTACTTTTGGGGACGTTCATTTGTAGATCAGTGTTTTGGTTGGAATCGTCGAAAACCGAGACCATTGTTGTCAACGGCATTCGGTATGGATGGTTACAGGTGACGAGGCTTGTCTAGACACTCCTTGTCCGCTTTTTTTGACATGCAAATCACGGTTTTTTTTTCTTGATTGCTCTCTTGTTGCAGTGGTGCTAAGGCTTCTGGGAAAGTACAGCGATGATATTTATTACCATCAACAGGTGTTGCTTCTTTCGCTGTAGGTCCCGGTGCATCGATGGCTGCAACACCGCATTTTGACAGCTCCACGCATGTACCCCTGACAGGCACCAGGGTCTTTCCTTTGGGAGAAGTTCTGGATGTGTGCAATTTTTTAGAGTAGAATCTTTCAGAAATGATTGGCGTTTTGCTGTGTCTTAAAAGAGCTAAATTTGTGTATGTTGTGGTGTTGATACTTACGTTATGCACGATAAAGCACTGATAAGTAGCTGCGATAAGGCCGCAAATGTTACGATTGCATTCCGTGACCAAAGCAGTTGTGGTCGCATTGAAGACATTTCATTCTCTATTTCTACTGACGTTCCCATTTGAACTTTTGGCATACCCGTAGAAAATGTCGATCAATTTCCCCCATTTGCATACTTCGCGTCTTACGTTGGTAGAAAGAGAGGGCTATACGAACTCACGATGTTTCCGAAAAACTGGCCAAGTATGAGTATTAACAGTTCGTTCGTTACATTCAATTGAAGAAAGGCATGTTCTCATGGACTCCATTCGTGTCAGCTTTGGGTGTGTTGACGAAGCAGGTCAGCCGTAGTGTACCAGCGAACTAATGGGAAAGCCTCAAACTAAGAAATTCCAATCATATACCAATCTAAATGAAAAGAGATATCGAGAATTGCCCGCTTCAAGTTGTCTTGTTCGTGTCTTCATGCCACAGTAAGCGAGGCATCACAATGCAACAGAAAAACATAAAAAAAGGAAAATATAAAACTCGCCAAAAACACTCAAAATACCAAACACATGAAAACCTGTTCTTCAAACCATCCCTCGTAATCCTGCCTTCCCTTCACCACCTCCCTAACTCTGCCCTCATCTCCTCTTCGACCGGGTAACCCTGCCTATATATTTCGCATCGGCGCTCATCTTTTCAAAACCATATTTGATTACCAACGCAAGCTGAGGCCCAGAGGAGGCGACAAGCCCGATGGCTGAGATTTACGTCCTAGTCAGCCGCTAGTGAGGCTTGTCGTTCTGACGCGTCTTTCGGTGGTGGGCCTGTTCCACACGATTTTCATTCTCTGTTCTGGCGTTTTTCGCTGGAAAGCCGTTGGCCCAGGCCCCCGGTGGAGCTACATACTGAAAACCATGCAACCCTTGACCAGCCTTCTCTGCGCCAGCATGCCAGATTATCGACCCCGGTTTATCGTGTTTTGCCTTCTTCAATAGACTCTGCACTTCATGCCCGGGGCACATACAGTAGATCTCGCGCCTAAGCGAAACCTAAACCACGAAGCCTCGAAGTAAGCTAATTTGAAAAATCTTTTCTGAATCCTCTTTTAGACTGTCATTTGTAGAAGCTTCCTTGACAGTGTAGGCCAGCCGTTTTGTGGCCTCTTGGCCTGTTTACCAAAACGGGAGCATGTACGCGCTTTTCCTCGCTTCATACATTCTATGATTACATCACTCACCGGATCCCACTTGGCACCGACTCTTTTCTTGAAAACATGACATTTACCGAGCGCTTCAAGGAGTTCATGTACTCCCTTTCGGCTACAGATAAATACCTGGACTACGACTCACGCAAATCTTTCAACAGAGTCAACAAACCCCTGGCAAAGACGAGTCTTTTGTCCCACCACGATAACAGTTCCACCGTTTCCTTCAACGGACCCACCGGCAACGTTACCGAAGGTGTGCACGAGGTCACTTTGGCCTGGCGTCACATAAAAAAGTGGCTTCACAAGCACCTGCCCGAGCTAAACACGTCTCTTTCAACTCCGTGTACCGAGGCCGACCTTAACGAGTTTCAGAAAGATCTCGGCTACAACTTGCCCCAATGTGTGGTGGAGTTCTTCCGTCTTACCGATGGTCAGCTGAGCCTCAACGATGGAGGCTTTGGCGGACTTGTATTTGGTTTGAAGCTCATGTCGATTGATGAAATCGCTGTGATGGCGGCTTCTTGGAAAAGTGTCCACCAGCAGATCCTTAAGCTGATGCCTGTCGAGAGAGTTGCCGAACCAAAAACCGCTCAAATTGAAGAATCGAACTTGGGTTCCGATTTATCTGACGGCCACAGTGAGGCATCCTATAGCAGTTCCAGAGCAGAAGGCCAGCTGAGGACCAACACCATCAACAATGGCCAGCGCTCCGTGCCTCCTGGAGTTGTTCAGCCTATCTACGCCCATGCTATGTGGACGCCCTTGATCACCGACGAGGTGGGTAATTGTATTGGTGTTGACCTCTCTCACCCACCCGAGGGTTCCGACGAGCCCGGTAAATGGGGACAGGTTATTCTCTTTGGTCGTGAGTTCAACACGAAGTTCAAGATTGCCGACAACTTTGGTGATTTCCTTCTAATCTTCGCTAACGATTTGGAAATGGGCAACTGGGAACTCAAGGAGAACGCAGAAATCAGCGATATAGTGTGTGGTGCCGACACTGAGCTTGTCTACATTGATCCCGAGACCAAAAAAGAGACACCATACATGGATGCTTTGCGCAGACGTTCCGTCAACGAGTGGATCTCTTCTCTACTGGAAGAGGAGCTCAAGAAGCAGGAAAACCAGGATCTTCTCAGACACCTCAAACAGGAGTTCTCCTACAAAGTGCCGTTCTTCGAGGACAAAACGTCCGATGATTTCCTCAATAATAACTTGAGAGGTATCGATAAGCTAAATACGCCTTTGCCAGATCAGACCATCACAGATGGTGACATTACTCACGAAAACACGATTGTTGATCTGGACCACGACGAGTGATTTACCAGATAATGCGCTGCACTCCAGGCTCTGTGAGCCATGAGAACTCGTACGTGAAGAAGACGACAAAGAATAGAGCGTTTATCGTCAGGTACCACACGAATTCAAGAGTGTGACTCGCTGTGCGTGTCAAGCGTTCGTTCTGAGGCAGTATGAATATTCTCACAATCACCAAGGGGATAATATAGTACCTTGGTTCAAACAAGGGAGACGGTATCAAAGTGGCGGCTGCCGATCCGACCAATGCCGCGATGCTTATGGGGTGCAAGGACAATATTGATGTCTGGTACAGCTCGCTGAGTGAATGCACGATTACCCATGACGAAAAGTGATAGGCTGGTATCGTCACAATATAAGCCCAGGGTTTGCTGAGAATTTTTCGGTAAATATAGAAGGTGTAATGGCGGTTGTCTGCTAGTAAGAAGGGGTGGACAACCGTGTAATGTTTTATGATGTGGTGCAACACCACAAACAGTGCCGCAGTTATTAATAGATTTAATCCTTTTCTTCCACTGACAGCAAACTGAAAGTAGTTTCTGATGGTTTTAGGTGAAAACCAGACTGGTGTTGTGAAGAAGGCGATGAATGTAGCACAATAGAACACTTGGACCACATGAAGGGTCATTTTGTGATTCTCTTTGTCGCCGAATGTAACTCCGCCATTGATGTAGACAAATGCAATGAAAAGGCCAGCATTAATGGCAAAGGGAACAAGAAGTAGCCAATCTTTGAAGCATTGCACTATGAAATTGGATACATTCTGCAAGACTGACTCTGACTTTGGCTTTCTTCTATCTATGAGGACAATTCCCACAAAGACTAGCCACACAATATTTGTTTGCCTAAGCCAAAGACTTGCAAATGCAGCTAGGTTAGCGTAGATCGAACCCTTCAATGACCGGTGTTTCGATATCACCAAAAGCGGGAGCACCACCAACACGGTGGCCCAAACATCTGTGTAAAACAAGAAGTAGTAAGTGTAAAGCAATGGAAGCAGCACCACATTGACCTTCCAGAAGTTATCAGTTCTCACTAAGGAAAGTACTAATGGAAGTGCCACAACTCCACCCACCAAGTTCAATGATCTGAGTGCTGTTGCCCCACAGGAGTCAGGCACCCCTAATGCACTGAGGACGTGATGATACCACGTCCCGAGCAAGTACAAGCCTGGAGGAGTGGTGATCTTGTTGTCCCATTTGGAAAACTCATGAGCACAGTATGTAGCGCATTGGCGTAGGTGAAAAAACTCATCTATGAAGGGCCATTGTAGCTTTTTGTGAGCCTCTTGAGCAATGACGGCTGTGAGTGCTCCAAATATTGGAAGCACTAAGTCTGGAAGTGCCATGTATGTTGGATCAATACTAGTTGATAGTTGATAATGCGCGAGTATGGCTGCGAAAGAGGAGGGTGAGAGATGGGTGAAGGAATACTTGAATTTGAGTGAGCTTCAAGGTTTCTATATAGATGTGAAAGTAATGGTAAGTATCGGGAGTGTTCAAAGGTGGAATTCAGTTTCTTGGCGGCCAATCCCGAGTTGTTATAGTGTGTGAATGGGTCCATTGTGTCGGGAGAACTACGAACTACGAATCGAAGCTGATTGCAGTTCACAAATCTACCAATGGCTTTTTATAAACGAATAAAATCAGCCTACATTGCTCCGCTTTCACTTGAAAGTTGACTTGCAGACCCTGTCTCTTGAGTCCACTCCCCATAAGCACAATGCGATTTTGCATTTGCATTTTGCAGCCATTTCTTCTTCATGCTTTACCGCCCAGCTCTGGCAAGGGAAATGCCTAAACCAACAGCACGACCACCTCTGCAACATGATCATGATCCAAACTCTTTCATGCCCATTCTTCCGTCTTCAGTCTCTGAAAGACCCCGAAAACCTACCTTCTCTACCCACCAAAGCTCTCTCGTGAATCTGCTTAGTCTTGATACAAAATCGCTTGACTACGGAAGAAGACCGGTTTCTGAACCGAGGCTGATTTCTCGGATCCTTGATGTTCCGGATTTGAAGGTGGCCACCGTAGAGAATGAGCCCCAGGAGCTTCACGAGATCCACTATCTCATTACAGCTGGTGATATGAACAACTACTACACCAGCCTTCTTTCCTGGTGCCCTCTTTCACAAAAGCTTGCTTTAGCAGTGAATGAAGATGCTTTTTGGTGGGATGGCGAAATGGGATTGGAGGGATTTTGGTATAATCCTCGTTTTTCGGGTATAACCTGCTTGAAGTGTGGTGGAGGCTTTGTCTTGGTAGCTATGGACTGGGACAGAGTGACGATTATGGATGTCTTGGGTTGCTGCAAAGGAGAGTTCTATATTGATGCCGGAGTGACTTGTGCCGAGTGGAATAATGGCTACTTCTATTTCGGCGATGGAAACGGAGTCATCTACAGTGCTCAGGTAAAAGACGAGGTCAAGGTTAAACCCTTGTGTCAAGAATTTCGTCAACTGGTGACAGGTATGTTTTAGTTCTGTTTTTGAAGCCATCGATACTAATTCTAGGAATCACCATCAGCAAGGATGGTCAATATCTTGCAGCTGGAGGAAACGAGAATAAAGTCATAGTATGGACAGTCAGTGGAGTCCGTCTTGAGATGTTAACAGAGCTTCGTCACTTGGCCGCAATTAAAGCTCTAGATTTCTGTCCGTGGCTGTCGCCTCCAACTCTTTTAGCTACTGGTGCTGGTTCCAATGATAGACAGATCAGGGTTTGGCACTTTACTCTGGGTACACTTGTGAAAGCTCTACCAACTCCTGGACAGATTACTTCAGTGACGTGGCTGAGAACACGAAGAGAATTGGTTGTAACCTTTGGTCATTCTTTTTCTCCCTCCACAGGTGTTGTTTCCATATACAGCTATCCGGATTTCGACCTTGTTGCCCGGGCACCTGACAAGGGTCTCCGTGCTTTCAATGCATCTGTTTCTCCGGATCAGCAAAGAATAGCTGTTGCTACACAAGACGGCATGGTTCGTATGTACCAGTTGTGGAAGGATGAGGCAAGGGATGAAGAGGGTACTCTGAGAGTGCTGAGGTCTGCAGAGCTGTTACAAATGGGTCCAATCCAGAATTCCAGGGACTTCGACAGCAGCATTATTCTGCTAGTGGAGAACATGAACACAGGGTTAGTCTTGCGGTAGTTGACACAATGATAGCTCGAATAAAAGAAGGATTGGATAGATTTGTAGAATGGATTATTGCTCTCATAAGTTAAAAAATTTCGAAATGGGTTGTTAACTTGCTGTCACCCTTCATTTCTGTTACTCGCTGGCTACGGTCACAAGCAATTTGCAACCATTCCATGAGCCGACTTGTAAGTTGCTTATCTAACCTTCGATTCAACCTGAAAACAATTCCATACAGCCCAAGCAGTGCTACTGTGAAAATGAAGTCTAAGTCATCCTCATTGACATGGGATTTTCTCCGCCGTATGATAGACCCATGATCTTGCTACGATACAAGAACTCTACACTTTCCTCGACGAGAAATAACCAAGACATTCTTCAAACAATGCTTACTTTACCAATCTCTTAATGGCTCTTTCCATAACCCTGATTTCCATCGTCATACCCTGCTTCACTAACTCTTCCAATTCCATGGCTATTCCTGTGTGAGCGCACCGAGTCTTATCGGTAGGTCTTCATCAACACTCTTTATCATGGACAACCAAGAAGCCACGAACGCTACCATCCTACTTATGGGGCTCCGCCGCGGCGGTAAGCTGTCGATTTGCAAAGTTGTCTTCCACAACATGCAGCCGCTCGATACCCTTTACTTGGAGTCGACCTCGAAACCAACGCTGGAACAGTTTCTGTCGCTTATAGACCTTTCCGTGATGGAGTTGCCGGGTCAACTCAACTACTTCGAGCCAACGTACGATTCCGAGCGTTTGTTCTCGCTGGTGGGCGCGTTGGTGTATGTGATTGACTCGCAAGACGAGTACTTGAACGCATTGACGAACCTCTCAATGATCATTGAATACGCATACAAGGTGAATCCTAACATCCACATCGAAGTCCTCATCCACAAGATCGATGGTTTGCTGGAAGACTACAGAATTGACGCTCAGAGAGATATTATGCAGCGAACCGGAGACGAGTTGTTGGACTTGGGCCTTGAAGGCGTACAAGTTTCCTTCTATCTCACGTCGATCTTCGATCATTCTATCTATGAGGTGTTTTCAAGAATTGTGCAGAAACTCATTCCCGAATTGCCGTCGCTTGAAAATATGCTAGACAATTTGGTGGTGCACTCCTCCATCGACAAGGTGTTCCTCTTTGACGTGAACTCCAAGATTTACGTGGCCACAGATTCATCTCCCGTGGACATTCAGACGTACGAGGTGTGTGCAGAGTTCATTGACATTACCATCGACTTGGACGACTTGTACGTGGACAATGAGCGTAAGACTGCCAAAGACAACGGCGTCAAGTCGATCAGTTATTTGCTGAATGGCCTGGTCTTGTATCTCAAGCAAATGATTCGTGGATTGGCCTTGGTGGCACTTATAAGGAACGATGATGCTCCAGAGGAGAAGCAAGACATGGACGAGGTGCTTACCATCATCGACTACAACGTGAGTTGCTTCAAGCAGGCCTTGGCCAAGATGTGGGAGGCCGCAAAGCTTCCCGTCTAATCAGAGCCTGGCTGAAATGAAGCGGCCTACAAGTACACAGTGAAGCCACCTCTGTGCTGGTGCCGGACGCTAATCTTGGTCGTCCCTTGCATCAGCAAGTCGGCGCTTGAACTAAGCCGATCACAGAATCCAACAAAGGTTTACAAACGCTAAGCTGACTCAGACGAGTCGGCAAGTGCCGATGTGACTCAGGCCTTCAACTCCGGCTGACAATACACTGCAGAGCTGTCAAAGGCTAAATTTCCCCGACCGGTAACTACATACTACCGGAAAAGCCCGTCACGTTTTTAAGACTGTTTGCAGCCGCCGGGCGCTACTAACACTTTTGTGGATCCCAAGGTAATTTCACTGCTGCCGTGGCACCTCGTGCTTACGAAAATGCCTCATTTATCACTGCTGCAGAGAAAGCCGTCTATACCCGTTTCCTGTTCGGAACAAGCCAAATGCCAGTTTCAATTGGTAGAAACTGAAAACATTCGCTGCCGCGGCTTCGGACATGGCGGGGCAGAACCAGCGCCTGACCACAGTGTGACCATGAGGGGGACAGCAGTTTCGGCCTTGGCCTTTCCCGGGTCATGGCAGCGGGAATAATATTGGAACTTTGAGAAGTCACGAAAATTGAAAGAGAGTCATAAAAATAGAACAAGGAGGAAGCCCCTTGTAATCTGGGGAAGCCCGCCCCAAAGATGCAAACAAAGCAGTGCGTCTCACCACGCAAGAAAACGGTTAGGGCGGGACGCACTAAGCACGCATTCTGTGCGACGTGGGGTGGAACCCCAACAATTGCAACTCTACAAAACAGTAATCTCTATAGCCAGCTTGTATTCTATAAAACGGGGGTGCTGGGATAATATCCTAGATAAGAACTAAGGTCTCGAATAAAATAACTGTGCATTAAAAAACGTAGACCAAGGACATCAGGTGGAGTCATTAAACAACCGGGGGCGGCGCGGCGCCCCACAAATCATCAAAAAGGGAAAAACGAATGAATGGGGCGTGGCGCTTACCAGCACTCGTAGCCGCCGTCCACAACCAAGTTGTGGCCCGTAGTGTAGGAGGAGGCCGACTCGGAGGCCAAGTAGAGGATGGAGCCGACAAACTCCTTAGGGTCGGCCATTCTGTGCAATGGGATCTTGCTCTCCCAAGCGTCCTTCATCTCAGAGTGACCAGCGATAACGTTCTTGGTCAAAGGCGTGAGGATGTAGCCGGGCGAGACGGTGTTAACACGGATGTTGTACTTGGCCCACTCGCAGGCCAACGATCTCACCAAGTGGATGACACCGGCCTTGGCCATGTTGTACATGGCCTGTGGCTGTGGGTCGTTGACAATGGTACCGGACATGGAGCCGATCATGACAAGAGAACCACGCTTGTTGGCCTCAATCAATGGCTTAGCAAAGGCCTGGGCAACGTAGAAAGCACCCAAACCGTTGACACGCATGATACCCTCAGCGTTGCTGGCTGGGTACTCCTCAGCTGGGAAGTTCTCGCAGTAACCGGCGGTGTTGACGAGAACATCAGCAATGTTGTTGTGGTGCTCGTTGATCTCAGCAAAGGTAACGGCCACGTTCTCAGCGTCACCAATGTTACAAGACCAAGCAGAAACCTCACCAATAGGGCTCTCGTGCTGGCCCTTCAAGGTCTCCTGACCCCAGGCCAAAACCTCCTTAGCGGCAGCCTTGGTTCTCTCAAGGTTGATGTCCACAAGGGCCACATCGGCGCCCTGGGCAAGGAAAGCTCTGGAGATAACAGAGGCCATACCACCGGAACCACCGGTGATGATAACCAATTTACCGTCAGCTCTGAAGTTTGGGACGACGTTGTTGTATGAGAAATCCATGACTAGTTGTTGATGAATGGGAAAAAAAAGTGTGGAGTGGGGAGGGCGGGTATATATATAGTTTTCAGGTGGCAGCGGTGGGGCCGATGTGCTCACGTCAAGCGTGAGAAAAGAAACGTTCACGGCGTTCGCAGTCTGCAGGCCACACATGCACGGGCCTTCACTGCAGCGTTTTCTCCTAGCCTGTGAGGCACGTTCAGGGCAGGTTGTAGAATTAAAAGGAAAAAGAGGAAGGTCCACAGATGTACTGGTCACAAAAACGCCGACACCTTCGTAGATAATAAGGGGCTTTCTGTGTTGGGCAATAGGGACTGAGCCTAGGGCGGGAGGGCCCAGAAAGTCGCCGCACCCCACATGGCTCAAAGTAGAGGGAACCACTCGTTTAGGCTTTGGATTTGGGGGTTTTTCCACCAAAGCTTATCGAGAAAATCCTCCTGAAGTTGTGTTTTTTTGACTGCTGGCCCCTGCGGAGTCAACGGCCTTGGATCACTTGGACCAAGGGTTTGCAGCTGTGCGCGAAAAGAAACGTAACCCTGATAAGATGCTGTGGAGGAGGGCGGATGCATTGGGGGACGTTGGTCCGTGGCTGCCAATGCAATAAGCAGAAAAATACCCGTTTTATTTTATTAAAAGTGGTCACTTTTTGGCGGGTTGTAGTAAGCTAGAGTTGTGGGAGTGTGTGGGCCAGCAGGCTGGCTGCGAAATGGTAAACACAGTGACCAGCCGAGGTGGCCTTAATTGGTAACTACAATGGGGGGGTCATGGAAAAGCGTTGAATTTCGCTGATTAAGCTGGATGCCTCCTGGTGCTTTTTTGGACCTTGTGTGAAAATGCCGCCCTGCTGCTTTGTAATACGCTACGTGCCCAAATTAACAAAAGAAAAGACCGTTAGTATGCAGCGATGGCCACCCTGTTGCGTCGTGAAGGTTTTGCGTTCTCTGTATAGACCTCGGGAACCCGATTTCACATTCAGGCTTGCATCCGGGTGCTTCGGACCAAATTGGGTTTTTTTATCCACGGGCCTGCCATGCACATTATTTTCCCTGACATTTTTTTTTTTTTTTTCTACCACTGCCGGAAAAACTCTTGTCCTGGTCCTGCGCCCGTGATGTCATCGCAGCAAGATGATCTCACTGTCTATAAGCGAGCGGCAACTCATTCCTGTTTGAGTTCCTTTTTTTCCCGGCCAGGCCTTGAAATTTCCAGGCACCAAAAGGCCTTTTCTGTTGTTTTCACCAATTGTAGAAACTTCAAGCAACTTTGCTCGTGCCATTGTGATTTTTCTAGTCGAGGCTCACTATGCCTCTACATTGCATTTCTCTTTTTCTTCCACGCCCAGATCTCAGCATATGGCAGTCACTACAGACCGGAAAATCGTCATCGAGCTTCGAGGTTACGCAACGGAGAAGACTCGTCCATGAACCTCCACGGAAGGGTTGCAGTCGCTTATACGAAGGGCTTCAAATCGATCTAGAGTTTTCCAGGCTGAGGCGAAGGTTGGCATACTGGAAATGCACCTCAACGGTTGCAAGGCTGTGTGAGTTCGATGCGACGAGACAATGCCGTAGTAAAGAAGTGCTCGTTTAGGTGCAAGCGATATAGGAGGCCGTTTCGCAAATGGGCCGTTTAAAAACAGGGCGGTTCAACCAGTAAATCTGAATCAGCCAAGGAGTTAGTGTAGAGCAGTCAATGGGAAGAACCTTCTGTTCATGGTTAGATGGAGTCTATGAGGTCCCCAAATGATAAGTCCGTTTATCAGGGCCTTTTATCCAACGAGAGCCATTCACATCTCGAACTACCGATCCCTCACAGTATGCCACCACACCTCCGAGTGGACGACCAATCCTCAACATACACTTCATCAATAAGATATCTTCTTCTACTTTCTTTCAGAAGTCTTTGCTGGTTCCCCCTTTATTCTCCCTCTACTGCTTCCCCTATCTCCCTCCATCGCACCTACAGTACTCTCGTAAAATGTATTATTAAACGCTCCCAGAAGAAGTAAATTAAACACTGTCTCTAATCGTACCGTGGAGTACCTGGCTCCTCAGGATAGTCCTCGTCGTCGCTGGAGTCATCTGGAACAAGCCCAGGAACTGGTTCATCCGACTGACGTGGCTCAAACCAAGGGTCCTTCCACTTCTTTAATATCCTTTCATTAAACCGAGCCACGGGTTCCTGAGGCCTGGCGAAATCAACGGCGATCGCCAGCCCGAGGATATAGAATAGAGTAAGATAAATCAAACACTTCATGGTGTGGTGAACTCAGGGGTGAAGTTCGCGGTCAACTTTAGAATATACTGCAGCAGCGCTTGATAAGCCAATGATCGCATTGACGTGCGCCTACATGCCTCGCTTAAGATAGTGGTCCATTAAGGTATGCAAATAAATATCTATGCTAGTGGTTCAACTGTTTACTCGGTGGAAGAGTCGGAAGGGTGTTGCTTTTCCAACATCTCCTTTTCTTTTTTGGCCTCCATGGCCTGCAATCTCTGTAAGTTCTTCTCGTCTCTCTTGGCCTGCTGGCGATCGAACTTGGCGTTGGCCCATGTTCTCAAACTCTCGCCGTACTTCAAGCAGAATAAGGGGAAGGGAACACCCAAGGCGAGTCCGATAAATGCAAACATCGTGTTACCCCATCCGTATCCCAAGGCGTCATACATGAAGTTGGCAAACAAGGGGAAGGAAAAGCCAAAGAGGGAACGGAACACGGCAGCAGCAGCGACCGACGATGCGGCAAAACGATTGTTCATGTCAATAAGATAGTTTTGAATGTTTTGGAAAACAGGCACGATGAAAATACCAAAAATTGCGGAACCAATGGCTGGCATGATCCAGTGCAACTGCTTTTCAGCAGACCAACCGTACCAGATGAGGGCAACGGGCATACCGCAACCACTTGCAATCAACATGGGAAGACGGTGCTCCGGCTTTGGTACGCCATTGTTAGCAGCAACGAGCTTGATGTAGATTTTGTCACTGACTGGAGTGAAAACCAACGTGCCGATAATGAAACCAATACCGAGGGGAATGTACATGAGACCAGAGATTTCGACGCTGAAACCATAGTTGCCCTTGTACACGGAAGGGTAAGTGACAATGAGAAGGTACATGAAGCCGTAGCAGAAAGCCATAAAGAGACCAAGGCCAAAAACCATAGGGTGACCAACAAGAAGGGAGATAGGTCTCAGAACGGAAACAATGATCTTGCTTGAGGTTGTTTCACCGTCGGCAACTTCAAAAATGGTGTGCAAGTGGGAGTTACCGGTCGACTTTCTCAACTTGATAGCCTTCTTCTTCAACAAGGTAGGAGAGTAAGTCTCCTCAAAGAAAAAGGTACCAATCACCGCAACAACAAAGTTGAAGATGGCCAAGTAAAAGAAACACCATTGCCAGTTGGCGCGTTGCACAACGAAGCCAGAAATGACAGGAGCAATAACAGGCCCCATAAGAGGACCCATGGAGTAGAAAGCCATGGCCAAAAGACGCTGGCCATCACTCCAAACATCGGCCAAGCAACCGGCACCCACATTCAAGGGAGCACAGCCGCCCAAACCACACAAGAAGCGGAAAACGCAAAGTTGAGCTGGAGTCTTTGCAAAACCGCAAACCAAGTTAAAAATGAAAGTTATCCAAATGGAAATGTTGAGCACTGGACGACGACCAATACGGTCGGACTCAGAAATGGGGGCGATGATCAAAGGACCAAGCGCCCATGCAAGAATCATGATGGAGACACAGAAAGACTGAAGCACCGCGGAATGGAGGTTGATGTCTTTTGCAATGGCAGGCATGGCGGGGGAAAGCACCGAGGAAGACATGGGAGAAATCAATGTATAAGTAGCCACCATAAACGTCAGAAACATTTTTCTGCGCATACTCCAGTTTCTAGGATACTCTGGGTCGTCTGGGCCATTCCACGCCACAAGCTCAGGGTCTATATCCGTGAACTCTCCACCAAAGTCCTTAGAAGGAACAGCCGTGTCTGGCATGTCCTCGTAGTGTTGTTCGGAGTCATCTCCCTTGACTTGGTTTTCCTCGTCCTCGGGTCTATGCACATGGTCTTTCGACGCCATCAACAGCACTCTACGAGATAAAGTTCGAAGCACCTCGTTTTGATGCAAAGCTCTCTGGTTTTCAATTTCGTCTGAGTTCAAGTCGCCATAAATCTCGTTGACGCTGTACCTCGTAGAAAGTCTAGACAAGTTGTTAGGAGTCAGAAAGCCATTGAGCGACGACAGCACAGAGCCAGCCCTATTTGGTCTATAAGGCTCAGGCTGTAGAGGCACTGGCTTGGGAGCCAGGTTTGCTGACTCTATAGATGAAAGTGATGGTCTTGAAGACATGCTAAAGGTGTATGAAAATGTGTGGCGAGAGGGGGAAAAAAAAGACTCTTAGGGTGCTCTTATATAGAAGCGTCGCTGCGGTTGATGTATGCAATGATCCGTACGGCGTGAGTTTTGTGCAGGGTGATAGTGAAAACAAGGTCTTTAGCCAAGAGCTTGGAGTAAGGGAAGCGTGTTCGTGTAAAGTGGTCCCATGAAACGGGGGTTTGTTCTTTGTTGGAGTGAGATGAAGAAATCGATAGTTTTTTGACGAGGATTAGCACACAATGGTGTTGCTAACAGCTCGGAATAGTCGCGTTTTCACCGATGCACCCTCAGCCCCCCGGCTGTTTAAGCGCCGGACCGACATGGGGCCGAATACACGAGGCAAGAAAGGGTAAGCCCAAGAAACTGGGATTCGGTTTTTTTAAAAACATGGAGAATTAATAAAAGCGCTATATGGCGGACGCTTTGATGAAGGTTTTTTCCGAGCTGTCAAATTGTATAATAGACGAGCATTCTGTATGAACATCTAAGTTTCAGAAGCGCCTTGTCTGTCGGTTTCGCAACGCAAGCTAATGCGCACGGGTTACCTTACCGAGCACCTCGGTGATAGTGAAGAGCCGATGATGAAGTCACAACCCCTATCTTTAGTTTATCGGTGATTGTCGGCGATCGTTATTAGTTTTTGGAACATCAATTTGGATTCACTTTAGCCTGCTCTTCGAATTTTCACAGCCGTGCTGCGTGCTGACCAATCTGCGGAATTGACACAAAACGTCGCGATGTCCGCCAACAACCGCGATTAGCCGGGCCAGTCGCGCACGGCTTGCGGTAAGTCAAATAGCGAGGCGGAGGGGGTTAATGAAACTTTGGGAATTGGGCGTAACGTTGCTTTTTGCGACCGTTACACTGAAAAGGGGCCTTCGTTTATTGGTGTGGTTCTTCGGTTGGGTAATGTGGGAACGTGTAGCATTTGTGTCGCTTCGGCTAATACTCCTTCTGAAGTTCGTTTCGGCAGCAACTTACAATTTGATCACGAGCAATTCAGCAAAGACACACAATAATAAAGTGAACGAGCAATTTGATTGATTTTGTGAGATCCTTGAATTTTTGAAAATTATCAATTCCTTCTGCTGAGTAACAAAGAAGATCCGCAGCGATCAGCGTTGCTTTGAAATATCACTTCCAGTGCAGTCTAGAAAGCAGATCTACCCAAGGTGTTTGAGGATACATAGATTCAATGTCTCAGGCGAAGGGAGCGCTATTCGGGTACCACAAATAAGTGTACCATAAAATCGATATCGTAGTGATATGGCAAATCATACAAGAATTCAGATCTTCCTTACTCTCATCCCCATGCTTTTGTAGCCTAAGGCTTTTTAGCGTCCTTCAGTTGAAAGGCCATCCGATACGTTACGAGCACTCCACAAAGGCCAATTCTCATTGTGATTGCATTGATAGACGTGCGTCAAACACTTTCACCCAGGCTAATATGATTCTCAAAAGGTTGGCTGAAACTTCCCGTACGCTAAAGTGCCGCCTTTTGAAGACTCAACTTTGAAACAGCATGATTTCAATAAAAATTCGAGCAGCCCTTTTTCAGATGATTGCCAATGTCTACGTGTCATATAAGGTATAGCTCCGTTGCCCCTGAGCAACCAGACGGACCACTTAGAGTTCGCAGCCAAATTCATGGGGGTAAAAATCCATCGTTTCAATCTCTGTGTGCAGGGCGAGCGAGAAGCTAGTTTTAAACGGCGCTGAAAATCGTATGATGTCTGGGCATGTGCGTAAACGACGAGGGATTTGGCTTTGAGAGGAGGCAACTGATGGAGGATTTATCATAGATAAGTTTCTCGAAAAAAAGGAGGTTTTGTTACTTCTGTCGGATATTCGATCGTCATCACCGGAATATCATTTTGACGGGTCGTTGCAGGATGCAGCTTATAGTTCTAGCGTGCGACAATGTCGTCGCTACCTCAGTAAACCCCGTCAATATGGTGATACTTGGGGTAAATTTTTATTGTAAAGATGTAGATGTGTTCCACTACGTATTCTGTGCATGATGGAAGAAAAGTGATTTCCCTTTATGGGGTGTGGAGATACTGACATGGGGCCTCAGCTGACGGTGTGACGACATTTTTGCAACCTCTCACCGAACACTCGGAAAATCACGAAACCAGGGAATTCAGACAAAGTGGATCTACTGAAGCTAATAGCAGAATCCAACGTTTATCTCGCTAATCTCTCATCGACATGTTTCCATGCATATGACCTAGTACGATATCTCGTTTACTCACCTTATCTTGCCTCATCAGTCAGCCCATGTGGCCCCATTTCGGCAGAATTCAAATCAGTCGATACGTCATGACAGCTTACTCATAAATATCAAGAATTGCTTATCAATTATCATAATTCAAGTTCATCAGCGTAGTCTTTCAAATACACTGAGTTCCAGACGCGCTCGTATCGTCGTATAGCCCTCATATACGACGGCACGTCGCAGAGCGTTTCTTTTTCTCACTTATATATCGCCAACATCAGCCTACTCCAAAAACCATCATGGTTAGGTATGTCGACCGGGTATAATGATTTTTTGAATTCACTAACATAATAGTGCCGTTTACCACAACTACGCTGGTTTTTCGAACGTGACCACGTTCGCCGATGCCTTTGATAACTTCTCGAGAGTTACCGACTTGAACTATGTCGAGAAGCTCTGGGCATCCTACTACTACTGGATCAACAACGACCTTTTCGCCACGGGTCTTTTCTTCTTCTTGATGCATGAGATCATGTACTTTGGCCGTTGTTTGCCATGGGCCATCATCGACAGAATCCCATACTTCAACAAGTACAAGATCCAGGAGACCAAGGTTCCTAGTAACAAGGAGCAGTGGGAGTGTCTCAAGTCCGTGTTGATTTCTCATTTCATGGTGGAGGCTTTCCCTATCTGGTTCTTCCACCCTGTGTGTGAGAAGATCGGTATTTCTTTCCAAGTGCCTTTCCCATCTTGGTGGAAGGTGGCCATGCACTTGTCCATTTTCTTCGTTCTTGAGGACGCTTGGCACTACTGGTTCCACAGAGGCTTGCATCACGGTGTTTTCTACAAGTACATCCACAAGCAGCACCACCGTTACGCTGCTCCTTTCGGCTTGGCCGCCGAGTACGCTCACCCAGTTGAGGTTGCCCTCCTAGGCTTGGGTACTGTCGGTATCCCTATCGTCTGGTGCTACTTCACCAGAGACTTGCATTTGTTCACCATCTCAGTCTGGATCTGCTTGAGATTGTTCCAGGCCGTCGATGCCCACTCCGGCTACGAGTTCCCATGGTCTTTGCACCACTTCTTGCCTTTCTGGGCTGGTGCTGACCACCACGACGAGCACCACCACTTCTTCATTGGCTCCTACGCCTCCAGTTTCAGATGGTGGGACTTCGTCTTGGACACCGAGGCTGGCCCCAAGGGCAAGGCGAACAGGGAGAAGAGAATGAAGAAGAACGCGGAGAAGAAGATCCAGTAAGTCTCCAGCTGGAGTCTCCGCTTGGGATCACAGGAAAAATACGGTACCTTCGGGAGTTGAATTGCTTTATACGCTAACTTTCACAATTCATAGATTTAATTTATTGTATCTCTATTTAGGCCTCCTGGTTCGCCAACCACTCAGTGTACTCCTTTCTCTTTTGCTTGACGTCAATGAAATCTCTCCTCGTCTCCAATTCTTCATGCTCTGAAATACCCAATGAGTTTACCACCCCGGTGGCTTCACTCAAATTGATGGGCATAAGGAAGGTCAGTGGAGGCCAAACAACTTCATCGTGGGTGATTCCCAATCTGTATCTGGATTTGATGGAGCTCAAGGCGCCAAAGTTGATGATGACAAGTCCAATAACTACCTCAAGAATAATCTCAGTGGGAACAAATGAGCCTGTAGTTTTGACAAAGGCATGGTACTCATAAGAGCAGTATCCAGCATGCAAAAGCACAAGGGACCCTAGAATCAATAGGGCAGACATGGGAGTAACGTGTAGTTGGATGTGGTTGATAGGAATGATGTGAGGTACATCCGTGCACCTGTTTGCAGCCGGACCACGAAGTATGCTCTTCTACAGGGTAAAATATGCTAGATATCATTTCTATTCATTGCTCATTAATTCCTGATCCATTCGATTTCGTCAGCGGCCTTCGATCTCCATCTGGCGCAGTTGTGGAACGCCAGGTACAGCCAGGTCAACAGCTTAGCTCCACGCATATAGCCAGTCCAGCGGTCAAATTGCTCCAGCATCGTACCGTCAGTACGGTGAACATGCCCCTGGACACTGGCGATGAATGAGTCGGCGTACTTGTATATGCTGGAAAGCAAAGCGTGGTAACGCTCAGACTTGTACGGTATGACAATCTTCCCGTCGCTGATGGGTGCCTCATCATTGAGTTGAGAATCATGCGGTCTAAAAAATGCAATGTTCAGCTTGTCAATGACGATATCGGCGTTCCGCCTGGTGTTCTTGTAGATCCACTTGTAGAGTATTTCACTGGCTGAAAGCGTGGAAATGAACCACGGATTACCGAGCGAAGTACCTTGTCCGTCATAAACATCCTCCGGGTATCTTCCCAAAGCAACACCAACATTGTTTTGCCACCGTGCCTTGTTGTGATTGATAGGGTATCTTTGTCTCATGTCGGCCACCATGGCAGTGATGGTATTCAAGATATGCGAATCATCGACATCGAAAGGAATGTTGTCGGTGCCTCCAAATTCTAGATTATGAGCGTGGAGAGCCGCAAGGAACGTCGCAGCATCAAGACCAGATCTAGTCCCCTGTTCATGCAATTCAGGTGTTTCAATGACATAAGGGATTGATGGATTGGTAAAGCCTCCGGATGAAGTGATAAAGTCTTTGAGCAGATCATAAGTAGCCTGAAGCTGCTCTGCAAACTTCATATCTATCACGTTAGTTCTTGCGAAACGCTGGCCATCCTGAAGTGCCTTTAATTGAGTCAATGACGTGAAAAAGTGATGCGAGTTGACCTCTTCCCACAAATCGAACAGCTTCTCGTTCCAGTTTGCCACAATGTACTCGAGATCGGGCTTGATTATGTGATAGTAGATGAAAGTGGTATTGCCCAAAAACTCGTTCTCAATTTGAAGGTTGCTTCTCTCAAGAAAGAACAAATATCCAAGGATAGTGGATACCCGGAGCCCTGGGCCATCAGACTGGGGCCTGCCCCAGTTCTCATCGAAGCTCTTTCCTGTGGTCAAAAACTTGGGCTCGCCGAGGCCTGACCTTCTTTCATCGTCGAAACGCCCTGATTGGTTGGGAAGACGTTGTAGTCTGTAGTTGACCTCGATGTACTCTTCCACCACCTTTCTAAGCTTTGCCACCAACGCATCGTCACGGAAGTAGTCATTCATATGGTAGATCAAGGTACGCACGGTCAACGCGGAATCCCTAGTCCAAGTGTAAAAGTAGTCGGGGTCGGCCTTCAGCGGAGACGCTATGACGACACCAGGGAGTACCTCTTCCTCATCAAGAACAGAGGAAATACCGCCAATATTCTCAAGGATATAACTGAATGATCTGTCTGACTGCTCGGAAATCCAGTCCTCGAAATTGAGCTCGTCAAGGTTTTGACTGCCCACCTTGATAAGCAGACCGGGATGTGGGGTTGAGTGACGCCATGAATTTGGAAGATATAGCGCTTGACAGGCGGCGAAAAGCGCTATACAATTATGCAAAAAGAGCATCTTGTTCTCTGATCGCTCGTGGACTTTTGTGGGTGTATTTGTGTTTGTGGTTCGTTAATCTGGGGTTGAGAGATGCCTGATTATGCAAGGGCTGCGCGAATCTCTGCCACTGTTTCCGAAGCCTAGACCTATAAGATTAGATGGCGCAGAACAATGGAATTTTCAACAACGAAAAAATAAGTCAATGGTAATGAAACCAGGCTTCCTTCTCGTTTTTGTTCTCCACTGCTTGCTGGGGTCATGCTGATCATGGACCTGCCGAGAGGCTGCTTGCTCAGCCGCCACGCATGATATGTGGTTTGCGATGTATAGAAGTTGAGCAATTGGAAAATCGAACGTGCCGCACGAGGCCTTAGCGATGCCTAGTCCTTCGGTTACGTTGCATTGCGTCGCAGCAACTTCATCACTTCATGACAGGTAAGATAAGCCTTTTTGCTTCCTCGCAATACGCAAAGTTTGCTCTTAATCCTCAGCAGTATTTGTAGATTCGAAAGGTGTGACATTGGCAAACTTCGTGTCAAGCGGATTTCTGGCGTAGCAGTCACGGCTTCTGTCCATGAGCTCGTGCATTTCCTCTTGTGTAAGAGGGTCCTCATGAGGTGGTGGTGTAAGAAGAAAACTGCTTGAATTCTTCATGTTGAACTCGTCCTCATGAGAGCCGTAGAGATCTAAACGGTTGCCAATATCGAGAATTGACCTAATTGAGGTAAACTTCTCGAGATCGATTTTCTCCTCTGCCAATTTCTTCGCAACTCTTCCAAGTTGGAATTGCCCCAGTTGTATGACCATTCTCTCCAAAAGTCTTTTGCTGAAACTTTTAACGATCAACAATTCCTCCACTGTGTTTCGAACGACAAGTCTGAAGATTTTCACAGGATTGGTCTGGCCGATTCTGTGGAGACGGTCAATAGCTTGGAGGTCCATTTGAGGGTTCCAGTCACTATCGAAAAGAATGACAGTGTCGGCACTGACCAAGTTTAATCCCAAGCCACCGGCTCGCGTGGAAAGCAAAAAAACCTTGCTTGAGTCATCTCCTTCCTCTTTGAACTCGTTCATTGCGTCTTCTCTCTCGTCCTGAGAGGTAGCTCCATCGAGTCTATTGAAGGGTATGCCTTTGTCTGTCAAGACGATTTCAATCACATCGAGCATTTTCTGGAATTGCGAGAAAACAAGAACCTTGTGCCCGTCGTCCATTAATTTGTCCAAGAGCTGGTTGAACAATTGAAGTTTTCCCGAATGCTCGAGGATCTTTTCCAGAAAGTCCTTCACTGCTGCTGGATCGAATTCGTCGAGCTCATTGTGAACAACGTAGGGCTCGAAGAATGTGTAGTGTGAGCCGCAGACCTTCCTTAGCTGCATCACCGTATTTTGAAGGTGTTGATGCACAACATGCCGCCTGGCTATGTCAACTGCCTCCAGACAAAGCTCTCTTCTCTTTTCTTCTTCACTGAGATCGGAATCATCCTTGATTTCGATGACTTCAATATCCAGCTCATCTGAAATAGACTGAACGCGAGATCTGGCTCTTTTTCCCCTGAGAGGTCTTCTCCGTCTTTTCTTGGACCCTCCGTTAGAGGTATCATTTGAGTGGTCACCCAGTATGACATCATGAAGTGTCTTTTGAAGCTTTCTATTCAAGGAGCTCTTTTTTAGTTCCTCGCGTGTGATTCCGTTCTGGGTTGGCCCCGATGCGCGATAAGGTATCCATTCACGGGAAGTAGTTTTCACTCTCAAGACCTCTTGATCTTTTGGGTGAAATTCCAAGACCGCTCCGTTCTCCGCAGGAGTTTCTGGTTCCTCTGCAGCCACGCCCATCATGAGAGCATTTTCCAACTCTTGAGTCTGTTTCTCGACCTCTCTCTGTAAGGCCTCTCCCTCTAGAGTCTCATCACTTTGAAGACTTGTTGATACTACCAAGTGATCGCTCTTTTCACCATTTTGCTCATTCTTAGGGGATGGTTCGATTTCCTGGTGCCCATTTTCATCAGCTTTTGTTGTACTTTCATCCTCTTTAGTCTCATTTCCATCCTTGTCGCTTGCAGATGTTTCAGAATCAACATTTTGTGTTTCGGATGCATCGTGATAGTCTTCATCGCCACTCGTGATCTCTTCACTAAGCTCTTCCTCCGTAGCTGAAGCTTCCGAATCGCTAAGATAATCTAGAGCATCTAGGTTACCATTTTCAAAATTCTTGAGTAGCTTTCTGGAGTAAACTTGCCGCCTATCTCTTTGAGTTGCTTTTCCATTTGCTTCCTCCAAGACGTCTTTATCTGCGTTCTTCCTCAGGCGGATTATGTCTTGAACCGGATCAAGGTGCTCAGGTTTTGTGAACTTTTCAGGGTGGTTTTTGATAAGTAGCTCCTTGGCATGAAGCTCTGTAACCGAATCTCGAATATCACCTTGAACAATTGCAGCATAAAATGCCCTTTGAACAGGGGTCAAATCTGCGTACACGATGTATTCCTTCTTGGGCGGCAAGGTTTTCATTGCATTGATTTTGAGTCTTCGAAGAAGGAAAGGCTTCAAAATAGAATGAAGACTCTTCACAAGTTTTCTCCTCACATCTTCCTTTAACATTCTGTCATCATCTTCATTTCCACTCACAAACTCTTCGAAGTTGAACCACAGCTGAAACAATTCGAGATCACCAAAAATATCTGGTAAAATGAAGTTAAGAAGGGACCAGAGCTCGTTTAAGTTATTTTGTAAAGGCGTGCCTGTGAGGAGTAATCTATTAGCGGCATCCACCCTTTTGAGCTTTTGAATCAATAAGCACT